TGTCTCAAAAATCAATTAAGTGAGCCTGTGGCTTTAAGGAAAACCAACAGTATTTGTTGGCAATTTCAAGTTTCCACTTAAAAACTAGAATTGTAGGCCCTGGCTGGTAGCTCAGTTGGTTAGAGCATCATCCCTATATGCCAAGGTTGTGGCTTTAGTCCCCAGTGAGGGTACTTACAGGAGTCAACCATGAATGCATAAATAAAATAGGATGCATAAATAAGTGAACGTTTTCTCTCTCTAAAAATCAATAAATAAAAATTTTTAAAAACCAGTTGTAAAAAATTAGAATTGTAGAACACTTGTAGCTGCCACTATAAGATTCATAGCTTTATAATACTTTAAGGATCTTCTAATGAGATCAGAGGGATATTAATCAATATGATTTTTAAATATTGTGTTATGAAATGTGTTAATATTTGGAAGATCTTTATAACGCAGTGAACCAATATTTTCCAAATGACCTATGTTGATGTCACAAAATGATGCCCGGACAAAAAGGCAATTCAAAGAGCAAGAGTGACCAAATGGATTTCAATGTAACAAAGTACAAAAACTTCATTGATATGGTTTCAAATTTGATACCACAACTAACCTTTTTTTTCTTTTTTTTGTTTTCTTTAATTGTTCAGATACATTTGTCTCCATTTTCCCGTCACCGCTTTCCCCTGCCCCACCCACCCCCACCTCCCACCCTCAATCCCCACTTGGGCTGTGTCCATGGGTCCTTTAACAACTAATCTTTAAGAAACTATAATTTATCCAGTTTGGGTAGAAAATCAAAGAAAAATATTCACAATTATCTGGAAAAGATATTAACACCCCCCTCTCTTTCCTACTACGTATCTGTGTGACGCTGAATTTTCTCCATATACTTCAGCTCAAGCAATATATCACAATAGGTTGAAGTCAGAATCAAATATGAGGATCTGCCACTAGAGAGACTTATAAAAAATATAAATGCCATTCTTCTCACTAAATATTTTCAATTCTAAAAAATGTAGTTATTTTTCATAAAATGTTTATAACATGTACTGTGTTTATTTTAAAATACATTGTTAAATAATGTGGGGTGTTTGCAGTTTCTATTTCAAATACACTAAATATGGACAGATCGAGATAGAGCACACATGAGCAAGGACTCTTTAGAGTCCTTAAAGATTTTTAAGAGCATAAGAGTCTTATGTACAAATATCAAGTTGTACATCTGAAACTAATATAATGTTGTTTGTCAATTATACGTCAATTTAAAAAAGAATCTAAATTTTTAGGTTCTTATTCGGCTTAAGGGGAAAAAAGAGGTGTAAGAGTTTTGAAATGAAAAAGCTGGGAACTACTGCACTAACTGATACTGCTTCAACTGTTCTAAATTCAAAACGTGACAACCTTTAACAGAAAGATAAGGGAGGAAAGAAATCCCTGGGGTTATAGTGCCTGGGTTAATCATTAAAGGAGCTCCTCTTTGTTGGGCGCCCTGGAGGTATTTCCACCCTGGGGACAATGCACTGTAGTGCGTCCTTTGAGGTGGGTGAGGGGGTTGCCTGCTGTTAGCAAAGCAGAGAAACTATTTATTGTGCCTATATGCAAACTTCCCAGGCTGTTTTAGAAAGGATGAGTGTCGAAGACGAGGATCTGGAAACCTATTCTTCTAAAACTATCTATTCAGGTGTACCCAGGGGAAAGTCTTTTCTGTACTCCAGGAGAAGGGTCTCCCAGAAGTTGCTGATCTCCAGGGCCCTTTTTGAAAACAGTAGGGAGGTGAAAACACAGAACCTTATAGACTAGACATCTGGTAAAGAAAACCTGTCATTCATTTGGACTCAGAGAGCTTTCTCTATAGCCCCAGGAACACAAAAACTTATTGGCTTATGATCAGTGTGAGTCAGTCCCATTCCTGTGGTTGATGATCCATCCCTCGTGGCTTTGCTCAGCTGTGCGGCCCTCAGGCTGTGTGACTGACAATCTGACAGACCTGAGGCTTTTCTCCAGTTATGGTTGGGCAAAATCAGGATCCTTAGGTTCTCCTAGTCTCCATATCTGCAAAATAGGGATAACAATACCTACTTTGCATTTAAAGCACCTGGCACATGTTATTAGATTAATAACAACCATTTTGGTGTTTACCCTGAGACAGGAACTGACAAGTAATCTTCATTTGTAAGATTTAGTCCTCACAAAAAGTCTGAAAAGTAACTATCATATTTCTTTACTTTCAAGGAGAATTTTTGTCTACATTTAACACACCTACAATTGAGTTTTGTCTTGCATTCAATGTGTGTATCGTTTGTCCTGTTTTGTACAAAAGTTAATAAACTGATGGTGCATCTTAAAAAATACAGTATGGAGGCCCTGGCCAAGTAGCTCAGTTGGTTAGAGCATCGTCCTGATATGCCAAGGTTGTGGGTTTGATCCCCAGTCAGGGCACATACAAGAATCAACCAATGAGTGCATAACTAACTGGGACAACAAATTGATCGATCTCTCTCTCTCTCTGAGAAACAAACAACAAATAAATAAAATACAGTATGATTTTTCCCATTTTATGAATGGAGAATAAGTTAAAAAATACTAAGTAGCCTGTCTAAGTCCATGCATTTGGAATGTGGTGGGACAGAGAGGTGAACCACGGACTGTCCATCTCCAAAGCCTGGGGTTGTCTCACTAATTCATCACAACAGGCTGGTGCCTCCTCTCTCCCCAGCCCCTGGATTATACTACACAGCCAGGACTTAGGGTAAAGAACCTAGTCCCACCTAGACCTTGAGTACCTCTTCTTTCTGCTCCTTGGTTCACCAAATGTATTTGTCAGAGTATTCCAGTGAGACATCTTATTTTCAATTAATCCCACATATCTGAGGCAGGGTTCCCGTGATGCCTGCAGCTGAAGTTTAGGCCTCAAAGAACTGAAAATGGGCAGCTTGCATTGAGCATTTATCGACAGTGCAATGTTACAAAGTATTTCATACATGGGGGATACTTCTCCACTGTGCCCACCCTCATCCCCACCACCATTACGTTTCTTTCTGACAGTCCACCAACCCAGCCTGCCCCTAATTTTCATTTTATCCTTTACATGTAATCTTATGTGGCTGATGATCCCTGTGTGTGCAAAGGAGATGAGGCTTCTGCCACTGACACGCACGCTATTAAATATATCCAGACTGCCCCCAGAGAGTAAGCAAAGGGTCCTCTTTAGTCCTAAGTGGCCAAAGTGCCATGTTTTGAGGGATTTTGGGGGGTATCACTTTAAAAGTATGGCAGAACCTGTAGATTGAAACTATTTTTATAGATTACCTAGGCCATCAACACATTGACTGTGAGGACCTGCTCACACTCTGAGAAAAGCTAAAGCCAAAGCCATTCATGTTCTGTTGAAGAATGTGAGCTCAAAACTAAGTAAATCAATCTTTAGCACTTAACTCCACCAAATTTCAGTTGTTTTGTCTTTATTGTTTAAAGCATTGAAAAAGTTTCTGGTAAGGATGAAATAAAAGCCTTTGTTCAGGTATCTAGAAGGATTTCTATGTTTTTCTTATTGCTTTGGATGTGTTTCCAATGTATATTTTAGGATAATGGGGTGGGGGGGGTCAAATTTGTTGCAAATATTTAGCATTTTTTTTTCCTTTTGCTTATGATTTTTTTATGACCTTGAACTTAAAATATTTACACTGCAGAATCTCATTATTTCCTCTGTAGTTTATTGTATTCCTTTTAAGTTTGGTCTTTGTCCATCAAAAAATTAGATATTCACCAATATTTTCTCCTTTTTAATTAAGTTTGATTAAAAAATAACAAAACATAGGTCAAGATAGATGGTGCAATGCTATAATCTCAGTAGCTTTTTCTTCCCAAATAGTTAACCAATTCTTGTGGTGACACTGTCTTTTAAATAATTACAAGTTAAAATATTCTTGCCCTCACTGGTGTTGCTCAGTGGATTGCGCTCTGGCCTGCGAATTGAAAAGTCACTGGTTTAATTCCCAGTCAGGGCACTTGCCTCGGTTGCGGGCCACGTCCCCACTTGAGGGCATCTGAGAGGTAACTGATCAATGTTTCTCCTTCTCCCTTTCTCTCCTTTCCCTTCTCTTAAAAAATAAATAAAAATAAATTAATTAAATTTTAAAAAGCCTTGCCCTGGCTGCTGTGCCTCAGTGGACTGAGCACCGGCCTGCAAACCGAAGTGTCGCCGGTTCGATTCCCAGTCAGGGCACATGCCTGGGTTGCAGGCCAGCTCCTCAGTAGGGGGCGTACAAGAGGCAACCACACATTGATGTTTCTCTCCCTTTCTTCCCCTCTTTCTAAAAATAAATAAATAAAAACTTTAAAAAAAGAAAATCTTATCCATATTGGTAAGAAAAGTGGAACGTGGGCCCAGGGCAAAGATGAGAATCAATTGGCTGGAGGCTCCTGCCAGTCGCCCAGGCCTGCAGGGAGGAATGCAGGTGGAAGAATGAAGGCACAGCCCAGCCCCACTGCCTGTATAAGAACTGCTGCTGTTTGAAGGGGCTGGGGAGAAGGGGTATGGAATGAAGGGAATAAAAATTGGTGGACATAACATATACTATAATGGTGGATACATATCAGTATGCATTTATCAAAACCCATAGAACCGTACAACAGAGTGAACTCTAGTGAAAACTATGGATTCTAATGAACAATCATGTATCAGTACTGGCTCATCAACAAATGCACCACACTAATGAAGTATGTTAACAACAGGGGAGACTTAGTGCACGGACAAGGGGAGGGCATATGGGAACTCTATACTAGCTGCTATTTCCCGTAAATCTAAAACTGCTATAAAAAATAAAGTCTATTAATTTTAAGTTGACATATCTTATTGTTTCCCAAGAGCTGGCACTAAGTGATTGGTATCTGCATGTCCTGTTCAAAGGAAAGGGGTGGAGAGGTTACTTGGTGCATGACCACAAGTGTCAAAGAGTCTCCTTCCCCCACAAAAAGGAACAGAGGTGCACTTCAGTATATTTCAATCAGGTATTTTATTGTTCTGGCAACTGCAAAATATACAAATTTCTGAAAGGCAGCCCCTGTTTGAAAGCTGGCACAGCTTCATCCCAGGTAATTAATTCAGACAAATATACAGAATGCAGAGAAGTTGTAGGTCACACATAAAAGGCCCCAAACCAACCAACGAACAATAAACCCAATCTAAAAAGCTTTCTGTTTTCAGGTTCCCTTATACACATTAAATAAATAAATAGCACATTTGCTATCAAAATAATAAAAAAATAAGTTTCAAGTATTACAAACGAAATCATCATTGGTGTGGTTCAAACAGTTTTTCTTCTCCCCCTCAACGAAGTTTCATCCATGGTCTCAGGACAGAAAAAGGAGAGGGGTACACTTACCCCAAAACAAATATGCAAAGTTAAAAAAAATTGGTCCCAGATATTTTTTGGGAGGCAGAGGGTGAGAGGCAATAAGGGAGCAGCTGCTCCACGACTGCAGCTCCATCCAGCACCTCCTCAGGTCAGATCACCAGCTTTCCCCTCAGCAGCATCCTTCTCTCCCCCTTCCTGTCCATATTTATGTCTTCCGCCCCACTCAGGCCCTGACAAACCACATTCTGTCCAGGCAAAGCTCACGTATGTCCATACTGATGTCAGGCTGTCAGAGGCCAGGGACATGCACCTTCACACAGCCCCACTCAAACTGTCCATGAGAGTCAAGGATTGGAGTTTGCGCTGACAACCAGAGAGAGAAGTCCAGAAGGTAGGAAACAATTAAGTCATTCTCAAGAGCAGATCTCTTGAGTAGGAGCTTTGGAGCAGAGCAGGCCCCTCTGTCTAAAAATATGGCCAACCTACAAACATACACCCCAGTCAACTAGACTCAAGGTAGCGGGAAAGAGGAGAAATAACCCAAGTCTTCAGTCGCACCAGATGCACATACAGACATCCTCTCAGGCAGACTGCCAAGTAAGGGGGACAGGGGTTGAATGATTTGGTGTGAAAACCTCCAACTTAATTTTAAGGTATGTGAAGTGTGTCCCATTTCCCACGTAATCCCAACCAGAGAAATGTATATTCTCTAGGAGCTCCTCTCAAACAAAAAAAACAAAACAAAACAAAAATAGCTGTTCTTTCCACTTCCAGCTCCAGCTGTTTAAGCCTGCCCGCCCCCATTCTCAGCTTTTTTGTAGGCTGAGGAGTGAGGATACCAGGCAAAAAAAAGCAGACAGCAGAAAAGGAAAGTGACCTTTGGCACCAGCTTTTAGAAAGACTCTTAAAAGGGTCATTTGGACCAGTGCTGAGTCTCCAAATTGTTTCTTCTGGGCCTCAGGACACCTCCTTCGTCCCCCAGTCCTTGGAGGCGACAGGGAGAAACCAGCAGGTAGAAACTACAAGGATGTCCCTAAATCCCTGCTTTGAACAAAGAGGACATTCCCCAAGGAACCCAACACCATGCCAGACACACAGCAGATACTCCATGAAAACGTGTGGGACTGAGCCGAATCCTGCCGGGACACCGCGCACAGCCTCTTGGAGGAAGTAGCCTGGAGTGAGGCCTGGCTTGGGCCAATGTCCCCACCTGGCCAATGTGGGAGGTGATGAACGTCCTAAAGGAAGGAGGCCGGATCCTTGTTCTTCTCCACGTTGTCTCCCCGGGTCTTTCTTGCAGTGATTTGAGCATCTGCTCCCCAGTCGGCTTCCGGGACTCCTTTGAGCTCCCCATCTCATGGGCATGGCCCAACTCCCCGCATTCTGTCACAGCTTCGGCCCCCGCAGGCACAAAACCCAAACATCTAAGTTCTTGAAGAGAAGGTGTGACTTTTGGGTCACATGTTCTGCCAGTAAAAAAGTGCAAAAGCAAGCAGCCCCAGGAAAACCGCCCCTCAGGGGCCTTTGATCCAGGCCTGACAGTGGGGGGACCACACAGCTCCCCCCAGGGGTTGAGGCACCGGTGCTAGTTCCTCTTGCCAGCACTGCCAGATGATCCTTCAACATCTTCCGAGGCCAAGCACAGACTGGGAAGGTGTGTGGACACGCGGAGGGCCACTACTCAGCTGACAGCACGTCCAGCTCAGGGACTTCTGTCTGCACCTCCACACTGGCTCTCCCGGCTGGCCCCATCCTAGCATGTGTCCTTTCTTCACAAGTCCCAGGCCAAGATGCACGAACAAGCCTTGTGAAAGTTTTCAACATCCCTGAACCTTCAGTAACTGGGATCTAGGTCCCTCTAATTTTAGGGTTCTGGGCCCTGTGTCACCGCCCAGCTGGGAACATTCTAGGCCAGGATCACAAAAATGAAACAAAACAAAACAGCAGAGGCATCCGACGTCCCCTCCTCAGGGCCTTCTCTCACCTCCTCCACTGCTCATCGTCCTGACCAAGCCTTGTGGAGAGTCAGTGAGACCACACAGCCCTGGACAGCGGGGAGAGCCCGGGGTGGGGGCGGCCGCAGCTGGATGCGGAGGCGTGGACTCTGCGCACACACGGGGAAGGCATGCTGGGGTCTCGGCCGCCCCGATGCTGTGGGGGGCGCGGGTTCACTCGGAGCAGCAGACCCCTCTTCTGTGCCATCCCGCCCCATTCCGGGAAAGTCCTTGGGATCGTCTCAGGTGGATGGAAGAGCCCCTACCTAAACTGCAGGAAAGGAAAGGGAATGGAACCAACAGGTCTGCCTCAGTGTGTCCCGGAGGAGTCGACGCTGCTCTGGGAGCCATTCATGTTCTGTTTTCAGGAGAAAAGAGGACGGAAAAGGGGCATTATTATTACTGTTGACTAGGTTTCTAAAGCAAAAGACTACAGCCATGCAATTGAGAGTTCACTTTCCCTCTCCCCAAGACAAAAAACACAACCCGAAAGAGCATATTAACCGAACTGTTGGCAGTTGCCCAGGGAGGCCCCAGGAACACATGGAGGTTAAGGCCAGAGCCGCATGGGAGAAGGGCCTCGTGGCAGAGGCCTGATGTCTGCCTGCAGGAAGCAGGAAGGATGGTGGGGACAGCAGGCAGCTCTGCTGGTCAGAGCTGTTCTAGGGAGCAATGGGGTCAGCACCTACGAGACCCTCAGCTCACAGCCCTTGAGAGTCCTGGGGCTGCCCCTGCCCGGGCCCAGGGAAGTCTTGCTGGCCACACCAGACAGAAGATGAGCTGGGGGCCCTGTAAAGAAGCCTAAAGACTCTCTCACCATCTTGGCTGGTGTGGCTCAGTGGACTGAGTGCTGGCCTGTGAACCAAAGAGTCACCAGTTCAATTCTCAGTCTAAGGCACATGCCTGGGTTGCGGGCCAGGTCCCCAGTAGGGGACGCGTGAGAGGCAACCACACATTGATGTTTCTCTCCCTCTCTCCTCCCTTCCCCTCTCTCTAAAAATAAATAAATAAAATCTTTTTTAAAAAAAGAAAAGAAAAAGAAAGAAAGAAAGGACTTTCCTCCTAGGTTCTAGGAACACAGGTGCTGCGAGCTGACTAGTCGTGGTGGGGGAGGACCCAGGCAGAGAAAGCATTGTCACTAAAGTTCTCTTCCTGTTCTAGTAAAAGCAATCCTAGCAAGAGCTTCATCCACTTTAAACAAAATGTTTTTCAGTCAACTGGGGACAGGTGATAGCTACCACTGCACAGCAGCAGCCACTTTACCTAACCTCCTTAATTCATCTGCAAAAAAGGGAAACACTTTTCAAAAAGTGTTCTCTCTCACCCTAAGTGTCTCCAGTAAGACTGTCATAAAGGGGTCTGAGGAGAGAGAGAAACCCACACACACAGATATGCGAAGATCACCTCGGCCCCTTCCCTCCCATGCAGAACCAAGGGCTCTGGTGCAGAAATCCCTACAGAAGAGAATCCCGGGCTGGCGGCCCTGAAGCCTAGTTCCCAGCCTGCTGTCAGCTGGACTCGGCAGCCCAGGCGCCCCGACCGTCCACCCACAAGTATGTCAGGCAGCCTCTGTGAGTGGGTGGTCTGCTGGGGAAGGCCCTGTCACCTTGCAACCAGAGAGAACCCAGCCAGCTTGTCAGAGAGTGAGGTGCTGCTGTGTCCCTCTACCCAGCTGGCTCCAACCCGCCCCCATACGTGTCAAGCCCAAGGCTCCGAGCACCCACAAAGGATGGCAATGAGACAATGACACCGGGGGTTGCAGGCACAGGCTATGTCAAACCATTCACTCATGGTGTCCCTGGCTCAGGACGCATGGAGGGAAAGGAGGAAGCAAGAGAGGGGGCCTCAAGACAATGGTGCTGCTCTTAAAAATCACAAGTTCTCTGGCACGGGGTGTATGAGTCACATACTCTACAATGGGCAGTCTTCACACAGAACAAGGCGCCCTGCTGGGCAGAGATGCCATGACTCAGAGATGCGGAGGGCACGGAGAGGGGCATGCACAGGGCCATTTACCTTTCCAAGGTTAGTAAGGAGAAAACTTTGAGAAAATGTGACAGACAGTTCGTCTTTCAAGCATAGTGGGGGCAAAGGAAGAAACATGTTGGAAAAGAAAAACAAAACATCTTTAGTAGTATTTTGTTTTTAGTGTGCACCTGAAATCTCAAAATCAAGGAAGCGCGGCGAGTGGCTGGCCCCGAGCGCCGACTGAGCCCTCAGGAAGGGACTGCGGGGCACCGCATCTGGCTAGGCTGTCATGCCTGCTTTACCAGGAAACCGCCCTCCCTGGCATCCTCCAGCCGCAATCCTTAAGGTCCCAGGGGCTCCCCTGCTTCCCATTCTCTTGGTGCTCCTGCTCCTCCTGAGAAGAAATCCCCCTGGCCTATGTGGAAGGAACAGGAGGGCATCAAAGTGCAGAGTGGCGTGCAAACCACAGCACAGCACGTACCCACCGGAGCACAGGGCCTCATCTCTCCAAGGACGGCTATCAGCCACCAGGCACTGACTACGTGCCAAGGATTCTGCAAGTGATACGTTATCAAAATACCTTGTCACATTCCTATCTCCATCTTACAAATGAGGAAGTTGGAGTCCTAAAATTGCACTACCTTGCCCAGAGTTCCAACGAGGGGGTAGTACAGCTAAGATCCAAACCTGGCTCAGTGTGACTGTAACAATGCATTTTGGGATCTGCAGCCCCAGGCATGGGCTTGTTCTCCCAGGCCGGGCTGGGCTCTGAGACCCCAGAGAATACCCCTCCTCCCCAACAGGGAGATTTCTTTCCTGGCCACACTGGGCCATGGGTAAAAGGAACACGAAATGCACAGATACAGAGGGCTGCTACTCCTGAAGACTGAATTTCATGGACACACCCACATTAAGTAAACACATCTCAGCCACAGGGAGCTGCTGCATGGGAGAGGCTGCAAGAGCCAAAAAGAATTCAAGCAGCTCTGGACAGCCCCACAGGCTGCAAAGGTCAGATGCTCGGGACAGGGGCAGGTGAATGGTAGTATCCTGGCTGTTCCCAACAACCAGCCCAGAGAAAGCAGCCAACCTTCAGGACTGGGACACCTGGTTAAGCTGTGGTTCTGCCACTTGACTGGCAGGATGACCATGGCGAGTGGCTTAACCTCAACCCTCATCTGGTAAACGGGGATAGTGTCTGCCCTGCAAATGCCCTAGGGTTATTGTAAGGATCAAAGACATGAGGCATGCGCAAGCACATTTTCCGTGAGCTGTAGAGCGTGACAAAATATATTTCACTGCAGGTGGTGCCACCTAATCTAAGCTTGATGCCAAAACAACTGTTTTCCCAGAATAAGCCAGTTTTTAAGCTTATCAGGCTGAACTCTTAAACCCTTTCCTCATCTGCATGAATTAGTCACGATACCCTAGTCAGTAAAAGGGAACATGGGTAGGTGTGATTTGAGTTGTTGAGGAGGATGACATTTCATGGTGGCTGTTCCTATAACTGCGATATAGAGGCCTCAGAGCCTTCCGTAGTTGGAACCACTGAAACAGTGGAAATGTTCTGGCCAAAACTTAACCAGAACTTTCTGCGTAGAGCTCTGGCTGTAGGAAAGGGGAAACCAAGTGGGTCTGATTCAAAAGCTGCTCCCAATGCTGAACATGGCTATTAAAGCCGAGCAGGTTGCCATACAGGACAACCTGCTCCAGGACAACAGTTTCCAAACAGGCCTCTCCAGAGTGCAGCGGTCCTGGAGCCCCGGAGTTGGGGGTGTGGGGGTCCCTGCCAGGACAAGAGGGAGAGACTGCAGGGTCTCTCTATTTGCTTTTCAAATTGGGCTCTGGGTAAATTTTCCTCTCAAAATGAAAGGGCTCTCCTAAGGGAGACACAGAACTTAAAAGATAATGGCAGCAGGCACAAGACCCAGCTTACCACCAAGATCTGACGCTAGAGGGACCAATGAGATTTTGTACTAGCAGTCACCCAGGACCCCGAGAGGGAATGAGGGGGAGTGTGTGTCCTGACGCGGCCAGCTGTAGCAGTGGCAGCATCAGGACCCGCAGAGAACAGCTGGGCCGTAATTACTTCTTGTGTCCTTTGCTAACAATTCATGAACCCCCTTCTCCCTCCTCCCGTGCCCATCTTCCTCCTTCAGATTCCACAAAAACTGTCATTATCCTCAACATGTTAACAGGCAGGAAGCCAAACTGGCAAGCAAGGAGAAAGAGGTGCTAGCAACAAAATTATTCAGAGAAAAATACTTACAAACAGGCTTTCCCTAGCAAAGGCTGCAGAGAGAAAAGGTTGAGAGAGAGAGGTCAGTAGAGGGACAGGGTACAAGGCCCAAGTCATGTGAAATCAGGACATCCTCTGCTGGGACCTTCCCAGCCTCGCCCAGCTTCCAGGGCCCCCGAGGATTCGACTCGGCAACCCTGAAGGACTGTCCTGTCAAAACGGCGGGGGGGCCCAGCTATGCGTCCTCTGTGACCCAGGACAGTGCAGCCCCACACCCCACTGAACCCAGCCCAGGCCAGTCCCCGCAACTGTCGCTGACAGCGGCCTCTAAACTTCCAACTATGACCCCACAGTTTACACCAAAACAATGTCATAGACATACCACATAGAACTTCAGTTCTCAGTTTTCATAAAAAACACCTCTAATTTTAGATTTGAAAGGAGTATTCATTAGACATCTCTAAATCCTACCCCCTCATTTTAAAAAAGGAGACTGATGACTTGGGAGGGATGCAACCTGACAATAAAACCCTACAGCTAGTGCCAGGGGCAGACACCACCAGGCTTGATGCTCAGCGCTCATTCCCTCATTGGATCTGCTTTGGCAGTAGGTGCTCCTCCCCCATTCCACAGATGAGAAAACTGAGGCCTGAGGAGGTTCGGTGACCTGCCTGACGTTGTACAGCGCCTGCCCCCACATCACATTTCCAGACACACAGGATTTAAATGAGCTTCGGGCGAATGTGGGAAGCGTTTGGCCTCAGCGTGGAACTCATAAACAAATCCGATTCAAAATTTAGCTGTGACTTATTTGTAAGAAACCAGGCCTGGTGGGTGGAGGTGGGGGATACCCCTGCATGGGTCCCAAACTTGTGCCCAGAGTTTTCTGTCTCACAGATTCTTGGCTGTCACTGAAGGAAAAAAAATGGTTTTCTAAAAACAAATCTTAATGCCCAATAGGCAAGATCTTTCAGCCTTTAACCTTCACAGTGAATAAAGTGAAATGTAGTTGGTTTTTAGTTTTTTGGGGTTTTTTACTGCCTGCTCAAATGCCTACACTATGTGAGGAAGTGGCTGTTTTTTTCCAGACCGTCCAGCTCTGCGAAGCGGGCCACCTGGGTTCTCCCCAGGCCACGCAGGCTCTGGGTGAGGACACTCTGGTGTAGTCCCCTTCGACTACAGCTTCTCTGCAATGGGCAGCCATGGCAAGAAAGGAAGGGAAAATACTCAGCCGTGGGCCTGGGACAGAAAAGACACCCTCAGGCCACACAGCAGCCAATGGCCCAGCGCTGCGAGGAGACTGACTTCAAACTAGGGGGTGCCTTCCACTTTTCTTGAGAAAAACCTATTCAGGAATATGAATGGGACACAGACACTTTGCCGTTTCTTCTGCTCTGCCTGGTTCTGCTCAGCAAAGATCACCTCCTCAGAAAGCACGTGTGCACACTCACAGCCACGGTCAGGAAGGGCCTGCCTGTGGCCTTCCAGGACGTCACAAACCCCCGAGGCTATCCCCGCGCTCTCTCCCCCCGCCACCCACCCAGACGGACACACACTACAAGGAAGGTCAAGAGGGTAACGCACTTGTCCGGGCAGCTGTGCGGGCACCTCCGGGGGCAGGCAGTTGGGTAGGGCAGCGGAGGCAGAGGCCACATGCTCCTCAAAGCTGTTGATGCGAGGCTTTTTGGTGGGCTCGGGGCTGGCTAGTGGGGTGACACTATTGCGTCTCATGAGTGGGTTAGGTCCCTTCTTTGCGTCCTAAGCAAGACAAAGACAAAAGAGAGAAGGCGACAGTTATGTGGAGAGGGAAGGTAAATAAGCACAAAAAAAAAAATTCAAAACCAAATAAAACACATATTCCTGCTTCTGGATTTTACTGATACAAGACCGACCAAAGTGAATGGCCCTGGGTCCACGGGGTTGCCTTTTTGTCTTGCACCTCCCAGTCCGCAAGATCAAGGGATGATCTCCTCCCAAGCCCCTTTTCCGGATCAATCCAAGACACCCACTCAGATAAATGCAACATTCACAGAGCAGGTGAAAGAAGAACAGCAGAACCACTTCTGGACAGTCAGTCATTCAATTACAGCAGATACCAAGGCGGAAGTACCTTGACGCCATCCTCTAAGGAGCGGAAGACAGGGGAGAGAGGCCTGGGCGTGAGTCCCAGGTAACCACTAAGGGGACAGGACAGCAGGAAGGCGGGGGGAGAAGGTGTCGGTTCTGGACTCCTGTGTCCTGACCACAAGCCAGGATCTGCAGAGCAGACATGGAACAAACAGCTCCTGTGTCCCATAACTATACCCCGGCTCAGGACCGAAAGGCAGGTTTCAAAGCCAGCCAGGAGATTAAAGGCACAGAAGACCTGAGGGAGGCAGAAACGGCCAAATACTAGTCTTCTGACCAAGTGACAACACGACTGTAGCGATCCCCATGGCCTGTCACTGAAGCTCATGACCCAGGAGCCTGAGTTGAGGTCTCTCTCTACCAAGAACCTGTCCCGGCTCTGCACAATACAGTGTTCAGAGACCATCAGAGCCCAGTTCAGACAAACCCGCTGCTGGGGGGTGCTGCTCCTCATAGAAAGAGAGGAAATGCAGCATCCCCCAACCACACACGTTCAGAAGGGGGCGTCACAGAGCCAAGGGATGCCATCTTCTTGTGTTTCAGTCAACCAGCCAGGCAACTGCCAGTGGAAGCCAGGATTTTAATGCCACAATCTCCTGGCCAAACTCCCTGGGAACAGGAAAGCCCTCCCTGCACGAATGGGAACGTCATACTCTGTGTACAGGAAAGTGTCAGACTGATGCCGGCAAAGCACTGCATTTCCACAGTTGGTACAAAGTAAATGTCAGCTTTCTTCCACAGCCTCCGCCTGGGCGGAAACCACCTCTGCCTTGGGGAGAGCCCGCCAGGCTGCCCACCCAATCTCAGCCCTCCAGGGATATCAGATGCCACTGGGCACTGTGGTCTTCTGAAATACTTTCCAGCCACCATCGCTCATGCCTCTAATTTCCAAATCATATGTTTTCTCCAGTTCCATTTCCTTTTGCACTATTATCACTTCTTGGTAATTCTGTACGTAAGTGCATAGAGATGACTGAGCAGATTTGCTGATCCTGTTTTAACCAGTAACTCTGGAACTTGAAAGTAGTTTCAGTCGCCCCAAAGGAAAAGGCAACAATATCTGTGCTGTGGTTTCATTTAAGAGTAGAATGTGTCTCCTTCTTTAATACTCACTTCTCGGGTCCAGTAGAAATGGGGAAACAAAGCATGGAAAGAGAAAAAATAGAAGACACCAAGAAGCCACAAGAAAGACAGGGCAGGAGGACACAGATGCTGAGAAAAGGGAGAGGACAAAGTCACCCAGGCCCTCCAAGTGCCAACAAACTACCTCAGGGAGAACCCATTGGGAGACATATGTCAGCATTTAGAGGCAACATAATACTGGGTGGTTCCTGAGAGTTCACACACATTGGTCCCGTCACTCGACAGTCCTCAGGGTGGAGAACGGGATGGAGATGCTGAAAGGCCAGAGGCATGAAACTTCCACTCACCTCAGACCTCTCCCGGTGTGTGTTTACTGACTCCACATTCAGGTAGATGGATTCTACACGGCAACCTGGGCAGGGGAGAGAGAGCAGCTCCTGGTTAAAGGGGACAGGCCGGTACAGCCCCACAGCCACCAGGAGCCACCATTCCTGGGAGCAGGTCTCACACAGCATGGGCAGCGTCACCATACTCACCATAAGCGACTGGAGTCAGTTTCAGGACAGTGTGAAGGGGGCATTTCAGGTAAGGCATCTCCTCTGAAAAAAAAGAGGAACAGCCCCACGATTCAATATGAGACTTAAGGATGGACATTCCCAGGCCCCCAGTGAGAGGCCTGCCAGGTCAAGAACCTCAGAGGCCTGGCCAGGCAGGGGCGTCTCCCCTGGCTCCCCCGCCCCTCACACAGGATCTCACTCAAGGCAGATGGCCCTAGAAAAAACCCCAAGCCCAGAGGACAAAATGAAAACATACCCCAAACCTGCTCTCACAGAATGAGTTACAGTAAAAAAAAAAAGAAGAAGAAGAAGAAGGAGAAAAGAAAGAAAAGTAAGAGTCATTCCCCAAACAACTTAGGTGTGTCAAGATTCAGCTGAACCCTATGCAGACTCAGACTTGAATTTTAAGGTAGGGTGTTCCGGGCAGTTGTTCCCTAGAGGTGGGCAGAAGAGAAAAGCTGCCCCTCCCACACAGCCCAAAGCCCCTGAGATACGTGAGTGGACGAGGACTTTCCAGAGGCTGTTTCATGGAGCTGCTGGCCCACCATGCCTCCTGTTGTACTGTGAAGTTTCACGAGGGGTGGGCAAGGAAGGGCTGGGCCGAAGGGCCCTCAGCAGGACGATAGACAACTTGTGTGGGTTGGGTAAGGAAGGATGAGATCCAAAGCTGCCCCAAACTCCGAGGCTGGTTTCCTGCAGCTAGCTCCCAGTCCCACCCCCGATCAAGCAAGTTTTGGGGGAGGGAGGCACCTGCGCTCTTATCCAGGAAGTAGGCCAAAAGGCAACGCAGGACAGCCTGGTGACAGATGACCAGCACATTCTCCTGCCGTTCCAGCTCCATGATCACGGGCTCCAGGCGCTGCACCAGGTCTTGGTAGGACTGCAAGACAGAAGGACGGGCGCTGTGTCGTGGCAGCATACACAGGGAGGTGACAGCTTGCCACCTGGGCCCCCCCGCCCCCGTCATAAACTAGAGAACACACAGTCAGTCAAATATCAGTCAAGACCAAGAGGTGTTTTAGAGCCATAGCCCTTGTGGGCACTGGGGAAGCCACCTAAACCGGCTCCCTCAGAAAGGGAAATCGCCGTGTGCTGGCAAGGGTGTGGAGAAGTGATCTTGAGAGGACATAATCTGCATCCTCCCTCCCACTGCTCCTTCCCTTTCCTAACCTTCTACACAAGCGAGTGAGGAAAAGAAGTCCTAACACAGAGCAATGTGATGAACCTTGAAAACGTTAAACTAAGTGACAGGTGAGACACAGGAGTCCACATAGTGTACAATTCCGTTTATATAAAATGTCCAGAACAGGCAACTACACAGAAGTAGATTCGTGGTTGGCAAGTGAGAGAGAATTGGGACTGATAGCTAACAGGCTGGGGTTTCTTTTTGGATTGACGGAATGTTCTAGAATTAGTGGCAATGGTTGCATGGTATTGTGAATATACTAAAAACCAGTGGGTTATATACTTTAAAGTGGTTAAAACAGTGAATTTTATATTATGTAACTTTTATGTCAATAAAAATAAGGTTAAAAAGAAGGGATAGGCCTATGACTTTTAAGACCACCGAAGCTCCCATTTACAATGGTCTCTCTGCTGTCCCCCTTCTCTTACTAACCAGGGAACAAGGCCCAGGGTGATACAAAAGGACATGATTGTTGTTCTTTCCCACACAGTTCTGTTGTTAGAGAAACACATCTCTCACTGTTGCTCCCAGGAAAAAGCAACTGTACTTCTCTTCAAGCTGTTCACAAGGTTCAGTTTAAGAAGACCCGATTCAAAGGCAAAAGTGCCAGGAACGAGCATCAGAACAGGTGCAGGGCTCACGGTGCACAATCTGTTAATAGTACCTGCCCGCCTGGGTGCCCAGCAGCCCTCTCCTGGCTTCGCCTGGCACCCTGGCCTCTGGAGGACGGTCGCACGCTCCCCCACACACAGCAGTCACACCTGACCAGCCTTCGCTGAATGGAAAACAGGCCCTGGGTGGAAGGGGGAGCAGCACCAGCACACTCACCTCCCCGGTGGGGTACCGGTAGTAGTACTTGTCCTGCTCACGCAGAGCATACTCCTCAGGGTAGGTGTCCTTTATCTCCTCGTAGGTCATCTCCTCACAGACACCCTGGAGAAAACACCAGAGGTCACTTGAGGGGACATGCCCCAAGGGCCAGCTCGACTTGGTCAACACAGCACATGCGGTCTGAAAGGGCTCTCAGGATTTCCAGCAGATACGGCCGGAAGAAGCTTCTTGCTCCCTCGCTCCTGTCCCCCGTGGCCACAGCCCGACCCGGAACTCACAGCATCGATTTCATTGAGCGCCTTCCACTGTTCATAGGGAAGCTGAAGGGCTTCTGCCGTCTGGATGGTACTCTTCAGCTGGCTGGTCCACACCTTGAGGTCCTTCAGGTTCTGCTCCTCCACAAATTTGCTCAAGGCGTTGGCAAACTGAGAGGGCATGGAACAATAAACATACACTGGACTCCAGGCTCCTGGGCCTGCAGGAAAGCAGTGCAGGGCTCGCTCCCATTCCACACTGGGGATGGTCACTCTGTTGCCATTAGAATGGGGAGGAGGAGACTGAACAACTGAAAAGCTACCCCTACACCCACTCCTCACAGCCCCAGAGACACTCCCTTCCCGCCCACACAAATACAGGGCCGCCCACAGGAACATAAAGAGACACACAGACACACACAGACACATACACACAGAGAAACAAATAGACACATACACATGCAGGGACAGGAACACATACATACAGAAATGCATATATATACACACAAAGGGACAGAGACACACAGAAACACACACATACGCATACATATATGGGGATAGACAGGTGTCACACACACATAGACACACACAGGGACAGGAACACAAAGGCAGACACACACACAGAGACACATATATAGACATACATGTACAGAGGCACATACATGTACATATATACATAAGGACAGAGGCACACCCCACCCTCAGTGTGCTGCCTTTCTCCCTGCTCCCCTCCTACCTTCCGGCCCCTGCTGGACAGGCCTGAGTCCCCTCCAATCTTCCCCTGGAGGTTGTGCTCGCTCTCGCCGTGCCGACACAGGTAGATGGTGCGGGGCTGCACGTGGATGTTCATCAGGTAGTACACAATTCGGCTCTGAATGTGGTCCTGAACTCTGTTCACCAAGAACCGCCGGCCCACATCGATCACCTTGATCAGGGACAGATCCCTGCACAGAAAGGTGACCAGATGATCAGAACCCCTCCCTCCCTCCAACACAGCACTGCCAGCCTGGGTCAGATCACTCAGCTGGGGCCAAAAGCAGAGATCAGCCCCCACAGAACCACAGCCTCTGGTGCACGCTTCATGAGGGCACAGACTGAATCTATTCGATCTGAGGGTCAGAGTGTGAGTACAAGTGTGTAATCCACACAGCAGAGTGTGTGGCCGAGAGGCTGGCTAGCCTCCCAGAAGGGGAGAGAAAAGCAAGAGAATGGAAGAAAGTAAAGGCAATACCAAAGGGACCACAGCAAAACTGGGCTCAAATATTCACTTTCCATACTTTCACATAGTGTATGAAAGTTAAAATGAATGTGTAATCAAGAACATTATATATATATAAATTTTTTTAAGCATAACTTACCCAAGGACATACATGCTTATTGATTTTAGAGAGAGGAAGGGAGGGAGAGAGAGAGGGGGAGAGAAACATCTGTGTGAGAGGGAAACATCTACCAGTTGTCTCTCACATGTGCCCTGACCAGGCACTGAACCCACAGCTTAGGCATGTGCTCTGATCAGGAATCAAACCTGTGCGCTTTTGGTTTATAGGACAACACTCCAACCAACTGAGGCACACTGGCCAGGGCTAAGAGATACTTTAAAAGAGAGTTTCTGAAAGTGTCCAGGAGCAACTGTATTGTGGGAACTTTAAGAAAATATTAAGTCCAGACTGTTGTGGCTCAGTGGATTGAGTGCCGGCCTCCGAACCAAAGATCACCAGTTCAATTCCCAGTCAGGGCACATGCCTGGGTTGTAGAGGTCAGGTCCCCAGTAGGGGGCATGCAAGAGGCAACCACACATTGATGTTTCTCTCCGTTTCTTTCCCCTCTCTCTAAAAATAAATAAATAAATAACATCTTAAAAAGAAAAGAAAAGAAAACATTAAAAACCCTAAAGTAAATGATTCAGAGACAATCACCCCTTAGGAATTACCTATCACATTTGTCAGGATCGAGGGGCTGATAGCTGGCTTCATAGCAACTAATTCTCTTCATGAAGTCGTCCATCGCCTCTGCTGAGTTGCAGTCTTTGTAATCAGGGCTGGAGATTTTCACTTCCTGTAACACCACAAAGAGGCAGCCGATGAATCATGCTGGAGGTTTTTGCTTAGCTGAAGCAGGATTTGGGGCTAGCAAACTGGAAAGCACAAACAGACTCAGAATGATGATGATCCGACCCAGTGTTTAAGAGAAAAGAGAAATATGCTGGTGCTGAGTCAGGACCCAATGATTACACGGGGAGAGCAGCACGGCAGACAAAGGATCGCTGTCTGGATGGACAGAGGCAGGAGACCCATGAGACGTCTAATGAACACCTCTGAATGGGCCAGGATTTGGAATCAATCCAGTAGTCATGTCACCCCCAGACATCCCAGCCCTCAACCCAGCTGAGTTCCGTGTAAGCATCTGCAATGTTTCCCACACCAAGAGCAGAGGAGGCTGTCGGTTGGCAAAGCCGCACTAAGGAGTTGCTGGCGATGACCCTGGCCCTCCGTGTCAGGCAGGATTCTTCCTCCACTACCCCAGATGGGGCAGAATACACCGTATCTGGTCTTTGATTAATGCTTTTCTATCGGGATCCCGTCCCAGGTTTGCTCTTACTGAGGGGAGATGGAGAACTGACCCTTGGGCCTGCCATCTCCTCTAAGTGAACAAGAATAGATCTGAGCAACCTGGCAGATTTCAGGGACGCTCTGCATTTTTTTAGTGCTCACTTTGTTTTCCTCAACAACTACCACGGCCATAAAAGAGGCAGCTCCTCTTTCAAAATTCAAATGCAAAGGGGAGTTGGTGATTCATGGTACAGAGCTTCAGTCTGCGGAGAGAAAAGGTCCTAGCGCTTGATGGCGGTGGTGGTTGCACAATCACATGACTATGCTGAAGGCCAATGGAACTGAACACTTAAAAGCAAATCTTTTCCCCCTGGCACCTCCACCCACAGAAAGAGCACAGTGGGAAGGCCCAAGCTGTAAAGTCACCTTGAGGCTTAATCAGAGCAAGAGGCTTCTGAACACCAAAGGTTGGGGAAAGTGACTCCTGGCCAAGTACATGGTGACTGCTCACTGGGGAAAAGTGATTTTGCAGCTGCTCTGTCCTTTACTACCAAGTGGAACTAGTAGAACCAAACTAAAGAAAAACAGTAAAGCCCTTTGTTTAGATTACAATAACTTGTTTCCTCGTCCTCTGAGTCTCTTCCGCTGAACCCCGCCTGGACTAATTTTCCACACTTTGAATAGTCTTTCCTGAAATATGAACTCATTTCTTAGAATGGCAAGCGCAAATATTCCCATTGCCTTGGAGAAAAGACCCAATATCAGAAACTAATGAGCACTCAGCATCCTTTTAAAGAGGCACACTTATATGTAGCAATACCACAGCATTTCCTGTAGAAATATCAAACCTGCTTCTCTTTATAGCTACGTCTTATTCTGAGGTATTTAAGCAGGAGAGAAGAATATCTACAACATGAGAAGGTGACTGTGGTGAAGTCTTCACGGTAACACTGTTTCTATTTGTGATATATTGTTATCAAGTGATACAATTTAAGACTCAATCACATTAAGCTGCCGCTTACCCTCAGTCTATGCAGGCCTCCCCACCTTGGCGCAGAAGGAGGAGGAGGGTAAGCTGTAGACACACCAGCAGGAAGACAGCTGACCACCCCTGTGCCCGCCAGACTTGGGAATTCTACCTTTAGTCTGCCAAGTCCTATTCTTATCTGCTAGAGCCCTTAACAGTAAAAGAGCCTGCTGCCTCCTTTCCCATGCGGAGGGGTAAGCGGCCCCTTGCTCCAGGCAACCATTCAGAAACTGTGCCGCCCAGTGGAAACTGTTCCCGAACCTTCCTTACCGCTCCCGGGGACTGTCTAAAAGGATCCTAGATAAAGCCAGGTTACAGAACATGCTTCTAAGCTAAATACCACTTTGCACTCCTGATCTCCCCAGATCCCATCTCTCAGACAAAAATCAACAACAAGTGGAGAGAGCCAGCTTGTTCTCAAGAGTCTAGTTACTTTCTCTGGGCCTGACCTGCATTCTGGTTCCCTGCTTGTCTCGGAGGGCACTACTAGAGCAGGGGTCCTGTGTTGTCTTACCATAATATTAGAGGCCACAACGGTGGGATCATCACACACCGACTCAATGAAAAACACCTGGGAAGAAGAGCAACAGGAACGTTTGTAAACAATAAATGTGGTAACACAAAGGGCCAGCTTTGGTATCACTGTGATGCTATCACCACATTTGAGGAGGAATGACACGACTCACAAACCCTCAAAACATAAAGGAAAAAGCACTTGCTCAATCCCAAGTCCTTGCTGGACAGAGAGAGAGGCCTCCCCATCCCCAGTCTCAGTAACCCTAAGAGCCAGCACCAGGAAGGCCTTATCTGTACGCAGCAAAACAGGGCAGCGGGAGCTGAAGGGCCAAGTACAAATTGGCTGATTCCTGAGGGCTTTTCTTTCTTCTGAGCACTCGAGGGCAAGACAAGAAGTTTGGCTCACCTTGAAGTCATTTTCTTTGGCAAAGTGAAGGATCATGTGTCTCCTCTCTCTCGTAGTATTGGTGGCATCAAAAACCTGAGCGGGAGAAAGAAGGATAGTGAAGAGAACCCAAGGTAACAGAATTTACCAAATCACCAAGTAGGTCAGGCCTGTCCCTTCTAGGCAGAAGCCAAAACATGTGGTCCCAGAAGAAACTGCGCCCTGCCGGCGGCCCTCCCTGCCACGCCCTCTCCCCACCACCTCCGGCTTTCAGGGAGGAAAAGGGAGCAGTGGGAAGAGTCCTTAGAGCAAACAAACAACAGTGACCTGCAGGGGAAGGGACACCGGCTCCGTGGCTGCAGCCTCCCCAGGTGCAGCCCATCCTGGTAACTACCTGTGCTGTTCTAGCTACCTGCTTCCCTCGGCTCTCAGGACAAAGGCATCTGTCCCTATTTGACGTGTCCCCACAACGGCCCTCAGTACTGCTCGGGCGAGTGTCTACACTTCACTCCCTCCTGGGCACCATCCCACTACAGGACGGGAGACAGTGCCAGGGTACTCCCCAGACTTACTGAAATTTGGCCCCCTTCCTTCGTCAGGTAACTCTTGACGTCTCTCAAAGCAGCAAGGGCACACTGCCTGTAACACATGGGAAGAGGGCAGGCGTCAGAGCCAGCCCTCCAGGAGATTCTACTGCCAAACTGCTCAGGCTGGCCAGGCCCAGGCCGCGCAGGCCCCGGGGCCCCTCAGAGCCTGCACGGAGGGCTGCAGTTACCCTCTGGAAGTGGTGGTGCACATGCTGGCTACACAGTGAAACCCCCGTGGGAGCTTTTAAGAACCCTTTGCCTAGGTCTTGCCCATATATTCTCACTAAACTGGTCTGGGGCAGGCCTGGCATCAGGATCTTTCCAAGCTCCCAGGTGAATCTCAAGTGCAGATAGGATTGAACACCATTGCACTGAGGTTTCATGACCACCTTGGGCTTAAAAAAAAAAAAAAAAAAAAAAAAAAAAGTCCTTTTCAGTATAAATAGCTGATTTTCCATGAAAACAATTTTGTCCATTCTTAACAGTGAAACATTGTTGTTGATCTGCATCACATAGGCTGGACTGGACCATCTGGAGCAGATAAAAGCAACAGGCCTCCGCGAGGCCAGGAAGTTCCTCCTGATACCCACAGAGCCACTCCGCAGGCCACCTTCCTCTTTCTCTTACAGAACCCAGCTTTCCAAAGCAAACTGAACCAAAACCCAAGGCCTCCTGCAGCAGCTCAGGCCTTACTTTCGGACTCTCATGGCCTCCTCATTGTCAGGGCGAAAGAAGTTGTAGGAGCTGTACTGCTTCACAGCCTCCCGGCGGTATTCCCCGACGTTGAACACTGTAGACAGAAGAGAGAGGACGCTTAGCTGGCGCCCAGGAGGAAGGCGCCACTCGCCGCTGGGAACACTCTCCAAAGAAAGAAACCAAGCTAATACATACACGCACACCAACGTGAACAAGCTCTGGTAAGGCATGAAAACCAGAAAGGGGCCCTCCTGGTCCAGTGCTTTCGGTGACCTAGAAGGCAGTCCAGCTTCCCCCAGACCAAACATGGCTCAGAGCCGCCTGCTTTTCTGCAGGTCGTCTCCTACAGCCCAGTGTCCAGTCCGGCCTCACAAGGTCAGGGGCTGGAGGCTGCGACTGTGAGAACAGATGGCAGTCACACACAGCTAGTGAAAACAGGGGGAGTGATGTCTGTCGATGATGCCTAGGAGCACTGCCAGGTCCAAATCAGCCATTCTTCTGCTGACACAGCAGCCGGTGCCCATGGGCGGCAGTGAATATTTACCAGGCACTTGCTGTATAAGGTACTGTGCTGGGCCCAGCAGAGGACAGCACATGTTAAAATAAGTCCCTGTCCTTAAGACATTTTCCACATAATTGAACAGACCAAGCAAAGATTCATCAAAATATAGTCAACTGGAATGGAGCACTTTCTGATGGTCGGTGGAGGAATGTCACAACTAAGTGCCTTGGGAATTTAAAGGAAAAGGATCGGCATAGATTGCAGTGGCTAGAGAAGGCTTCTTGAAGGGGGCAACGGTTAACCTACGCAGGACTCAGGGCCATGGGAATAACAGAGCAGCCAGTGAGAAAAGATCCCAACACAAAGTAAGGGTGTGTAAACAGCATGGTGTGTTACACAACAGAGAGTCCCCCCAGGCCTATTACAGGGTCAGACCAGGCCGCAAGTGGCCCGGCATGGTGAGTCCCAGCAGCTGGAGATGGGGAGGGAGGCCGGGGAGCAGGACTGCAGCACACAGTGTAACTGCCAGCCTTGGGACACAGCCTTACCTTTCGTGGGGACGCCAATCCAGTTGAGGTAGCGAGTCAGCTTCTTGGAGATATAGGTCTTGCCCCGGGCTGGGAGGCCTACCATGACAATCACCGTCGGGGAGTTGGTCAGCTTCGGCCCACAGGCTGGAGGAGCAACAAAGAAAGGTGCCATGGATGAAGCAGGGCTGGGGACCAACAAAATCCTGAGCCCCACAACTTAAAAATTCCACAGAAATTCCTGTTTCATTCCCACTGTAAAGCCCTGAGCATACACAATCCAGCAGGACTAGCGCCTCCTGGTGGCCAGGGCCCTTTAAACACACCTTGCAGCTCCATCTATCTTGCTTTCAGGTGACGGAAGACAGTAACCTTAATTCCCAGCCAGATACTGCAGGCCCTGAAGCCAGCCAGGAACCTGGTTACGACTCCAGGAGTGGAAGACATTCTGGGCATGTAAGGAAGGGACCGCCCCCCTAAAACCAAGTAGGATGAGGTTCACAGTAAAGTGTTTCCAAATGCAATATGTAAATTGAGGTGGCAGGTAAGAGCGGGACATGGTTGTGGGGGTGGGGGTGGGGGGTCTCCACAGCCAAAATATGGAGAGAAGCCAATCATCAGTTTCCCAACCTCCATACAGTAGGTCTGGGTGACCTTCCTAAAAATTTTTGTTTAAAGAAGACAATTTTTAAAAATAGTTTATCAAATGAAAGTAGGTCAGGGACCCAGAATGCTGCCCCCACCCTCATAATGGGTGACAGATAAATTCCTCTACGCTCGAAACTCTCCTGCCCTTTTCTCCTAAGTTCTGATTGATGCCAGGACCCTGCTGAAGAAATGGCAGACCACAGAGTCCCAGGTGCTCCAGGTCACTAAGCCCCGCCCAAGCAGAGCCCCGGGAAACCCAGAAGGTCTTGCCCTGTGATTCTCCTTCTGGCTTCACTGCTTAACTACTACTGCCCCATGTTATTCAGAATCTCAATAAGACAAAAAATAAAACCATCTGGGAGAGAGGTTTTTCATTGTTTTAAACAAGCAGCCCAAAGAGCCCTGTTCTGGACATTTAACGCACAGTATTTCCTCGACAGGCATCTTGTCCCTGAGGCTCTTAGGCATCTCTAGCTTCCTGGTGAGGATGAGTGCACGTGAGCCAGGAGCTATGTGCTGGGAGCAAGAGGCTGGCCATCTGTCCACTCCCAGCACAGCAGCGCTGCTCTGCGTTCACTGGCTGCCACGGTCAGCCCAGCACTCCTCATAGATGAGCCATGAGGCATTGCTTCCCAAGCACCAGCTACAAGGGTACAGCCAAAGCTATTCAGGTTGCACCCCAAATCTAGGCAGCCATCAGATTTAGACAGATGCTCTGTCTCTCACTAATAGTTGACTGCCAGATGGGGGAGGAGGGAAAGCCACCAGGCCACTGACAGGTACAGGCTTGAAGGAAGACACCTCCTCCTAAGTTGGATGTGCCTTCACACAGTCCCATCATTCTTGGGCTGGTGACCAAACTGAAATATCCAAACACCCACCATGCTATTCTAGGATCTGCCCCCTGGACCCGTAGGCTAGAGGCATGGAGGAAGCAAGCACAATGCATAGGGGCTGTTTCTTTCACGGTTTTAGGCCACCCGTGACCACCATGCAGAGTGAGGAAGAGGAGGAGGAGGAAGGGCCATCAAGAAGCCAAAACACATTCAGGAGCCACTTGGCTCTTGGCTAAGATTCCTCAGATTCCAATGGCCAGGAACAAATATGTGCCTCGAAAACAGATGATTTCCCTGCCCAGAGCACTAGTGGAGCAAAGATGCATCAACAGGCTTTCTTGAGTGCCAACGGTCAAAGCAGAGAACGACAATGGCATCCCTAAAAACCAATGGGAACATAAGACATACACTATGGCAGCTGTAGGTAACACATGAGGAAAATGTTCTCACTTGTGCTCCAAAACAATGCTTATTCTACTAGTTCTTTCCCCAAGCCACTGGGTTTTTCCTGGTCTTATCTTCTGTCCCCACCAAGCTACTGCCCCCCAAGGGCACGCGTGCACAGAGACAGATGGGGACACACATACACACACACACACACACACATACTCACTCTGTCTCTGGGCTGTGCACATGCATGGGATACATTTGTTGGACTCATGCCAAGGAAGTGGAGAAAGAGAGACTGACTGACTTATCAAATTGGGGATTAATTCTCTTATCCACTAACCATATACAAAAATCTCCAAATCTCCTCTAGTAGTAGATGCTTTGGCTGGAAAACAAACACACACACACACACACACACACACACACAACATGGCAGAGTAAACATAAATATCTTAAGCCAAAAACTCAGGTTGAATCACAAACCCAAATAAACCATCAGTCCCTTATATGGTAAAGCAGAAATCATTCTTCCTATTCCTTGGGCTTCTTGCACAAGATTCAAAGGAGCTGCAAGGGGGATGGCAAAGGTGGCTGCAACTGTCCCTGGGCCCAGGCGCTCCTGGGTCTCAGAGAGAGCAGAGAAACCACAAAACCTTTTGACTAAACCTTTGAGTCTTAGGTTCCTTCATCCCTCCCCTCTCTATTTTTTAAAGCCACAGCACGTCTCATTTGTGATCCTATAATCACCTGCCCCTGCCTCAGTTCCTCCCAGACCCTCAGTTACTTCTTCTCTGCAAACATCCCCTTTTTTTAACTCATGGAAAGGAGAGCCCCTTCCCACCTCTCACACCAGTCTCCCTGGAGCTCTGCCTTTTCTTCTTCCCCCACAGCACAGAGACTAGGGAACAGGAGGACGGAGTTTTAACACAGGATTTTCCGAAAAGTAATAGTGTTCCATTTCATCTTACACAAATGTTTAATATTTTAATCTCTTCTTGACAAAAAAGTTTTTACACATCAATATACTGAGACATCAACTTAGATGTCAACATAAATGTATATGTAGGGATATGTAGATGTTCATTATGAAAAAAGGGCCAAAGAGTCAAGTGTTTAAAGACCACTGGGGTAACACTATAAACACCTTGATGGGGAGGTTGGGGCTCAGGCTCAAAGTGTCACCCATGGTTAAGGCCATCACTCTATGGACTTATGAGTAAGAGCTCATAGAAAGTCACGAAGTTCTGGGAGCTCACCCTCAACTCCCTAATGTCATTACATTCACTCAAGGGCACACGTGCTAGGTGTCTTATGAGCACAAAGTATATGTGGACACCCTCCCTGTGCTGAGAAACATCTAGTCTGGGGTAGGTGGGCAGATGATACACAAAAAAAAGCCCAAGGGCATTTCAGAGCATAACAAATGCCGTGAGAGCCCAGCAGACATCCCCTTAGAGCGCGCTGGCACTGGGACGAGCATGGCCGTGGGGGTACGTTCGGATTGGGTAGGCAGGGCCAGCGTCCTCGAACAGCACCTGAGCTGAGACCTGATTGTCCACAGCCAGCCGCGCTGTTTTCTTAGGATATCACGCACACTGGTTGCTCCCTGCACATAAATGGATACAGGAAGCAAATGACAACCAGGAAGCCAGCTGGTGAATGCAGGGAGCAGCACCTACGGAGACCTGAGCAGCCAACCCTGAAAATCATTAGCCGGAAGAACAGAGGCTGCAATTCCAATTCCAGCCCAACAACCCAGGTTAAGCTGCTGACCTCTCTGACACTATGTAACATACTGACACAGCAGGCACTCAACAGCTGTCCTCGCCCACTGTACTGACACCCACAACTCAAGCTCAGAAAATAAGCCCTTGGAAGACACTTTGCTGTTGCTCCCATGCCTCCTACAAGGTTTCTTCTACCCAGATACATTCCAAAATGCTAACCTTAAAAAGATGCCAAGTCACATGTGCTTCTGTCTACAAGTGGGTAAGTTGTTGCTTCAACAAGAAGTCCCAGGGGAGCAAATGGAAGGGGATGTTTAAGGCAGACATACGCAGATGGGGTCAGTCCCCATCACTGTCCAATGAAGTTTTGATCACCACATGTCGACAGAAACCGCTAACAGCAAGGGCACACAAAACTGTGCAAGGACCCGCTGCAACTTTGCCGTTACACCATCTCCTAAGAAAGGGCCCTCTGGGTAACTGGCTGCATATGCACTTGGCCTTGGGAGAATGAAATGCAGGCTCAGAAAGTGATAGTGAACACTTAACTACTGTCTGCTGGACAGAAACCCTCTCCTGGGATCACATCAGCCCAAAGAGTCTGCTTAGTTGATGTTAAGAACCAACATCTAAGTGAGCTTGCGCTAAGGGGATGTGCCTGAGGCTTTGGAGGGGTGGGGAGAACTCAGCTAAGCCAACCCTCTTTCAAAAGCTCTTCAGTACCATTTGGTGAATACCATACTCATTTATTACTTTGTATGCACATTTTAACGCATGGCTAACTAGTCGTTATCTAATGAATGGCCTTCCCAACCCGACATGGTCTCTGCCAGAGACAGTGAGGGACAGAGCTTTTTAGCGAATCATTTGACAACCTTGAGAGACAATACAACAGTACAGTGGCAGGGCCTGGAGTCAAAGAGCAAGCTCAAAGACAGTTCCCATGGCTTCCGTGGATCTTGGACAAGTGACTTGATCTCTCATTGTCTTAGTTTCTTTTTCTGTGAAAGGAAGGATGCTTTAAAAAGTTTCTGGGAAGGATTAACTACAACATCATACACGTGAAATGCCTTCTACAGCAGCCTGAGTCAGCATCAGCCTTTATGGCTTCCATCGCTCCAGAGGAGGAAACTGAAACCCATGAGTGAGGTGAGCGCCCACTGAACAAGTAGGAAAGGACAGATTTGGGGCTCACCCAAGTCTCCCTCACCTGAAATCCTTTAGGTGCTCTTGCTCCCCCAGTGGCAGAGCCTCTGAGGCTCTTAAAAAACTGGATGCCCAGCCTCCCCTTCAACACTTCTAATTTGGTATGGAGTACTCATATGGATTTTTGTCCCTCAAATGGTTCTAATGTGCAGCCAGAGCTGAGAATCACCTGCAGTGGCCACCCATGAATAGGTAGGGATTTCTCCTAAACAACTCCCATCTTCCTTCTGTAAGTTAGAATACCATCAATGGTTTTTAGTCCCTACTAAGATGGAAACCCTTCTGTCAGTAAACAGTATGCAACTTACTTTATAGATGAGAAAACTGAGGTTCTGAGCGGGTAAATAAGTAGGGACTCTCCAATTTAACAGATATGAACAGAAAGGATAGGCAGCCATTATTAGTCAGTAACTGATATCCTTGTCGATGAAGATGATTCACCAATTCAGTAAGTTGCCCTGAGTTACAGTTGCATTTGAAGGAAGCTACGGGTTTTCTAAGACGCATTTAGTACCACGGTGTGGGTATACTAACAAGGGATCCAACAGATGTGCTTCAGAAGCAGAAATATCACCAAACCAATCCATCTACAGCTTTCTGTTGTTTTTATTGTTCTTTGTATATGAACAGTAATGTTCCCCATGCTCTCAGAGAAATATGCTGTAGATGCCCAATCAGGACACCACTTAGAAAAAATGATAACAGGTTTAGGAGGAAGAAAATCCATCCAATATTCCAAATGCCATTAAAGAAGGGGGGGGAGTGATCACGAAAGATGCCAAGGAAGAACACCCTATTTCCTCTATTCTGAAGAGAGATAAATGGGGCTAATATAAACCAAGAAAGTGACTGCTACTTGAATTAAGGGCATATACTGTAATAACTATTACAGCTGCAGATATTTTTATAAGGAAGAATGTGTCTGAGGCTGTACCTCAGTACCACACTCAGAATTCCAGAAGTAGGCGGGGACAGAGAATTAATCCATCAGCTTTAGCACTCTCCAACCCCCCAAGCTCTGAATGGTTCTGACAGGGATTTTTAGGCAAATCTCTCATCTGCGTGTGAGACGTGCAGACTGACAGAGTTTAATGGATGGATCTCCAATGCCTGGAGGAAGGAAACTTTGCTGCACACTTGTGTCTCTCAGAATCACACGACTGAGCAAATGCAGCCAATCTCAGTGCCCTCTGCACAGAACCTAAGGGTTATTCCTCCCAAACCTCAGCCCACCACCATGAACCTCAGAGGACTACTGAATATGTGCGTGTGTATATACATACATACAAATGCATGCATTTACATATATATAACCAACCTATATTAGTATGATCAATTACAGTTTACAAATTGCTCCATAAATATGTTTTATTCCAAGTCACAAAGGGCAAGATTGTTTCTGCATCTTGCCGTGGCCAACCTCCCTCAGGATTTGCGGCACTGCATTCCTCACCACTGATAGGTTTTATAGAAAAAACAAGCATGTTGTGGTCAGCCCAGCTTATAAACTCTTTAAGAACAAATCTAAAAGAAACAGACCTGCCAAGCCCCAGGCTACCGTGCAAAGAAAGCTAGTTCTCCTTAAGGCTTCTGTGACCCCCAGAGGCCTCAGGTCCAGCAGAGGTGACCAGCTGCTGGAAGAGTGGCCTCCAGTGTCAGGAGTGCCTTGCCAGCTCTCCATCACCAGTGTGACCCAGGAGCACCACACGGTCAGCTCTCCTCACCTCCTGGGGCAGATGTGGGTGGGAACAGTGATTCAGACCTGGGCAAAGCCCAAGGCAGTGAGCTGTGAAGCTGTCACCATAGCCTTGATGACTATCCCCTGTGAAACCTGACAGCACAGGTCAGTAGGCCACCTCCTGCTCATCCTGGCTTCATTGACGTCCTGAAGCCACCTCTAAGGTTTGCACCTGGAATCCATGTTTACCTCTCCAGCAATTAAACCTGGCCTGGGGCAAAACACCCACCACTGGGTTCTACTCTATCCACCTAATGGGCCCCCTGCGCAGGTTACTTGGAGGAGCGGTGTTGCCTTCAAACCACTGCGACAACCCTTTGGAGAGGTGACTCTCTCCATAGCTAGGGACAAAAACAAACATAAACCTTTCCAAAGCAGTTATGGCCCACGACAGACACGGCAGTTTGGTGAACTGCCAGCAAATTCCAAGCACGGTGGAGTGCGTGTGCACATGCGAGTGAAACGCTGCCAGGTTCCAAGGCAGAATCACTTGGGGCCCCCAGCAAAGGAGCTGGAGATGGGAGCAGAGAAACAGGAAACAGAAATATAGAGAGGTAAAAGGAGAGAAAATAGAAATATGAAGAGGAGTAGTAACAGAAAATGAGGAATAGGAAAGAGGAGAGATACGGGAGATGAAATATAGAGAGGCGAGAGAAGGCAGAAATAGAGGCAGGGAGAGGAGACAGAAATACACAGAGGAGTTAAGAAAGGCAATGGGAATAGAGGTAAAGAGAGAGGGGCCTAGAGAAGAGGGGAGGTAGAGAGGGATCCAAAGTGACGACGCGCGTACGAGCGGCCGCGTCCGTTGGCTGGATTCAGCCCAGCGGGCGCCCAGGAAGATGGCTGAGACTGGGGAACACGCGGTCACCCCTTCCCAAGCGTCCCGAAGCAAAGGCTCTCTGCAGTGCCCAGGGGCTCCAGGGCCGAGGCCCGAGGCCCGAGTGCGGGCCGCGCAGCGCAAGAGTGCAGCCGGCCGGGCCACTGCACGGCAAACGCCGGCAGGAGGAGCGTCCCACCCAGCGCCCCCGCCAACCCCGCCCCGCGCGCCGGGGAGGAGCGGAAGGCGCCTGGCCCCAGCCCGCGGAGCCCTGGAGGGAGGCACCCGGCCCGGGACCAGCACGCGGGAGGAGAGGAGTCCGCAGGAGAGCGCCCGCCGCACAAAGGCTTTGCTCTCCACGCGGCGCGCTGCTCCCACGTAGCACGGCCCCCGCGCACATCTGCACTCACATCTGGGCAGCGAGGGACGGTGGTCGACCGGGATCCAGATCTTCTGTACCCGGCTCTGAGTCAGCTCCAGGGGCATCTTCACAGCCTGGACTCCGCAGCCCTCCCCTTGCGAAGAATTCAGAGTTGGGGAAGAGAGTGGTTTGTCGACCCCCGAAACAAAGGAAAAGGGGGGTTGTGCGCGGGAGCACTGGCCGGCCGCTTTCCCTACCGCGGCTTTTTGGAAACGTGCTTTGTGCTCAATGACGAGCGCTCGCCCGGAACGTGAGGCTCCTAGAGCGCTTCGAAAGGGGCGGGGGCCTGGGGCTGCACCTGCGGCTTGCGCAGGGCTGGGCTGGTCTGGTCTGGTCCACCTGGGAAATCCCGGGGATGCTCGGAGAGCAGTGACAGCCTCGGTCCCTGCGTGCCAGCTCGAGTCCTCCGCGTTTTCCTCCCGCTCGCCTCCTCTTCGGCTCTGCTAGGATACCCAGAACTCCGCCTGAGCTTTTAAGAGCCCGGCCGGCTGCGACGCACACGTCAGCCTCGGGGCGGGACGCGTTCTTTGGGTTCCAGCCCCCACAACCCCCCGCCCCCTTCACGTGGGGAGGTGGCCGGGAGACGCAGAGAGCTTGCACGGAGGCGGCCTGCTGGTGCCCCCTGCCGGCCAGCGTCAGTAGTGTGCCTGGCTCCGGCAGATAACGCCACCCCGCCCTTGGCCGAAGGGCCTTTACTCCATGAGCCTCCCCCTACCATGCCCCCAAGAGGAGGGACACAACTTCCCAGACGAATCGCCTCAATTGTGCTGTGAGGAAAGGAGTGGAGCCGTCCAGCGGTCCATGGACCCACGTAGCGGAATCACCTGGGATACTGGTTAAAATGCATCCTATTGATAGCCTTTCTGGGAGTGGGACGCCAATACTCTGCCTTCTTAACACTCAATCTATGTCAGGCACAGTCAAGTTAAGGACTCGGAGGGAGGATGGTGAGAGCGCCCGTGGGGCACAGCTCTCTGGTTCACTCTTTGCCAGAGTTGCTCCCTGATAATACTTGTGAGTCTCACCTATCAGGACCCCCGCCACCGGCAAAGAGGAGTCTCCCCAGATACTTCGTCCTCACCCGGCCCACTGTCCTGAATCCCGTTGAAATCTTCACTTGTCCTGAACAATGCTCTCCCAACACTTAGTCCCAAGAGCTGGTAGCTCAGCAGTGCATGAGGACGGAGGTGCCAAAGCCCCGGAGGCAGTACCCAAATGGACCCCAGTATCTTGGTTTTCATAGTCACTGTTTACAATATTTTCAACATGCCTTTATCTCTCCTAGTAGAAGAGTAAATACAAATAGATCCTACTGCGACCTGCAAATGATTACTTGACTATAAGCCCCAGAACGACTACTGGGAGGCAGCAAGCAGCACCTTGATTATGCAAACCCCTAAAATTCATGACAAGTATCCAGCACAGGCCTGCTGCATCTCTTCCTCGCCAGTTTTGGGTGTATATTGTGTCCTTTTTGCCTCCCTAGTCCTTGCAGTTTTGCCGCCAACCGCGACACGCAACAGTCGTGTAGTCAGGCCTGTGGCTGCCTGTGAAGATCTGGTGCGCTTTCAGCAGGGACCTGCCACCAGCAAGATGGCATTACATGGATGTGCGCGATGCATCAGCAAAGAAGGGCTACCCTGCTTTGCATAGGTGCGTCCCTCATGCTCGGGTTGGGCTGAGATTGCAAGGATGTAGGCGGCGCTCCCTGAAACCCCATACTGCAGTGGAATAGCCTGAGCAGAGGCTGCCTCACGTCGCTCACGTCCCGCATGGCTCTGCTGGGACTGCGCCCGCTCTCCTGCGGCCGGCACAGCTGCCGCCAGCACAGCTGCTCCTGCCCCGCCCCGCCCGGGCCTCCCCTCCTCCCAGCGCTGCAGCCCGGCCGGAGGCCCGGGAGGGCCGAGCGACGCCCACCGGGTGGGGGGCCCTCGAATTCCCCCTCAACCGCGGCTTCACGCCCAGCCCTCCCTGGAGTCCCTGCTCTGTCTCCAACAGCTTTGCTGACTGTTGGGTTTCGGCACTCTGCAACTGTTTAGAAACCCAGGTGTATTTCATTGGACTTGTTTTTCTGCTATGGGAGCAAATGCCAGAGATGACACCCTATAACGCCCCAGGGAGAGTCCCACTCCACTCCTGAAATAAGAAGAGAAAAGCATTCGCAAGCGGGCGCCCGCGCCTCCGAGAGAAGTTGCTGCCCGGGGTTTCGCTGGAGTCAGGAAGGGGGGCCGGGTGTGTGTGCGGCAGCGGCTGCCCCCCGAGATGTCTGCAAACTTGCCTCCCCGGGAAGAACCAGTGTACCTGCATGCCCGCTGCTTTCCCACTGGGTATTTTTACATACAAACAGGGCAAGGGAAGGAGGCGGCCATTCTTCCACTTTCTAAGTATGCAAACAACTGTGCTGGGTTTCAGCTTAGGGGGTGAGAGGACCAAAAACTCGGAAGCACATCTTTAATCTCCTGTCGTAATAACGTGTCTGTCTGCCTAGGGTCCAGCTCTGAGGGACCCTCGTTCTGAGATCCTAGCCTAAGCATTCGCACTCGCCACGTAGACCACGCACTTTATCAGTGTGTCAGTAACGACTTAAGCGGCCATCGCCGCGGGCCCCCGCCCCCTGAAGACTGAGTTCTTCATCACTTCCTGCACCTGATGGGGAGCAGGCAAACGGAAATTCACTCAATCCCCGTCTCATTTCTGCTATCTAAATACAAACAAACTGGGAATGCGTGTGGGGGAGGGAGGGCAAGGATGAATTCACACATTAAAATAACTTTAAAATAAGCAGGGCAGCTAGAGCTGGTGCCATGCTTTCAGCCCTCAAGTAAATTAGGGTAGCACCCTACCGAAGATAAAATTACTTCACCGCAAAGCCGTTTATAAACAACCCAACTGCTACTGAATATTTTGGTTCAGAATTGATATTTAGACATCCGTGTAACTCTTCCCCTAGTTTTGTTAATGGTTTCACCTTCACCCAACTGTCTAGGGCTTTTTATCAACTTTTTGATCCCAAAGCGGGTGATCAGCAACTCATTCCTTCAGAAAAGGCTGCGGAGAGTACAAAAAAATCTCTAATACAAAGATATTTTTAAAGCCAGGACAGCTCCAAATACTAGAGGAGATGCTACCATTCATGGCACTATTAAAGCTAGAGTATACGGTCATGTTTTAAGTGAGTCAATGGGGACTTTAGAGATTAGAGGGTTTAAGGAACTAGGTCAAAGGCCAAGAAACAAAGGCAGTGAGGAACTTTTTTTCCCCTACTTGACACAGACAAGCTTCCCCAGGGGTTGCTGACTGGAACCCTGAAGCGGTTGGCCACACTGATTCTCACCCAGGACAGTTGAGCTGTTTGGCAGGAAAGCATAGGGAAGTAGCTTCTTGTGCAGTAAGCAGTGCTTGGTGGAGGTACTTACAGAGGAGAATTCTTTCCCCTGCCTCCAAAGACATTATTGATTTTAGAGAGAGGGAAAAGGAGGGGGAGCCAGAGAGAAACATCAATCAGTTTGCCTCTTGTACACTCCCCAAGCTAAGCATGTGCCTTGACCGGGAATCGAACCCTCCACTTTTTGGTTTACAGGACAATGCTCCAACCCACTGAACCACACCAGGGCACAGAGGAGAATTTTTTAGCTAAGTCTAGAGGCAGAGAACAGATGGTGGAAGTGGTTTTTCTTCATGACCTCTCTCTGCCCAGTTCCTTCTGCTGACCAATCCATGACCCTTACCCCTGCTCCCTGATGTTGCCATAACAGCAGCAAAAAGCAACCCCATTTCCACGATTAGGTGCCAGCTAGCCAGATTGAAACAATTAAACCATGTTAGTACCTACCTCCTCAATGAGAGAATCAGAGAAAGAACAAGATGCAGCAGGCTGTGAGCAAACAGAGTTGCTAATTAGACACAAAGTGTCATCATTTGCAGGCATGAGCCATCCTATGTGTAAGACAGTGCAGTGAAGCACCGAATAAAAGACCAAAATAAACCCTCACCTCACCACCCATCCAAAGGCAGGGGAGAAGGCAGCTTTAAAAAAAAAAAAAGTTTGTCCCTTATACATGAGTGGGAACACAGACACAAATATCCACACAATGCCACATTCTGGCAGATCGAAATCCCAATTCAAAACCTGCACTATAAGGTTTATAGCAGCTTTATTCATAATCACCAAAACATGAAAGCAGCCAAGATGCCCTTCAGTAGTAGGCGAATGGATAAATAAATTGTGGTCCATTCAGACAATGAACTAGTATCCAGCACTAAAAGAAAACAAGCTATCAAGCCATGAAAAGACATAAGGAAACTTAGATGCATATTACTGAATAAAAGAAGTCAATTTGAAAAGGTTCCATACTGTATGATTCCAACTCTAAGACATTCTGGAAAAGGAGAAACTATGGAGAGAGTAAAAAATATCAGTGGTCACCAGGGATTAGGGAGAAAGGAGGGTTGAATAAATGGAGCGTAGAGGATTTTTAGGGCAGTGAAACTACTCTGTATAATACTGTATTGGTGGATACATGTCATTATACATGTGTCCAAACCCATAGAATGTACAATGCCAAGAGTGAACCTAATGTAAACTATAGACTTTGGGTGATGAAGATGTATGTATCAGTGTAGGTTCATCCTTTTAAAAAATGCATCCTTAAAAAAATCATGTTGATAGTAGGGGAGGTTGTGCATGCGTGCAAGCAGGGAATATATAAACTCTATGCCTTCCTCTCAATTTTGTTGTGACCCTAAAACTGCTCCAAAAAATAAAAGTCTACTTTAAAAAGTCATTATTTTTCTACAAATGTCATATACACTTTTCTCCAAGTAGATTTACATGCTGTATCATGTGGGTATGAGGACAGTGTGTGGCCACAGCCTGGCTCTGGATGAATAGACACAAACTGTGCAACTGAAGTCCCCCTGAACCATCCAGCAAGTTTCATTTTCCTCTGCCCAGTCCACGTTGCTCCACTTCCTGCAGGCCTTTCCTTTCCTTGAGGCACACCCGAGCTTGGGAGCACGACCTTAAAACTGCCTGTTGGTGTTCCACATCCAGCATCGGGCCTTCCTGCCTGCAAATGCTGCTTTCCGAGTATTTGCACTCCTGTTAAACTCCTCACCCAATATCAAGACATATATTATTTGTGTTTAAAAATACTATTTTATGACTTTAAAATATTTCTGCTTTAAAAAAAAATTCGGTAGTCTAGTTAATTTCCTGGTTTTGATATTTTACTTCGCTCATGTAAAATGTCAACTCTAGAGGAAGTCAGGGGATGAGTTCATAGGATCCTATGTTCAATTTTGTAACTTCTTGCATTTCAAAATAAAGAGTTTAAAAAAAATTAAAATCAGTGATAGTTCAGTTTACTCAGATCTTGGGAGGGTAGAGAATGCACAGACCATAGAGGCACTGAGGTCACATGAAGGGAACTGGCAGAAAG